CCCCCCCCGCCCTTTCGGAATATGTCCCCTCTTTTCTTGTTTATGTTGCCTTTTTAAAGGCATTTTTCATGCATATGTAGTACTCTCTTGATTTACTTGCTCGCCAACTTACTTAGTATGAGTAAGGCTAAGTCTGAAGCCCGAGTGGAATATTTAATTCTTGACCATAAATGTTATAAATTTTTGATAATTTGCTTTTTCGTGAGAAAATCCGTCATGTTTGAGTTGAACACTTTCTTGCTTTAATTGATTTTTTATCTACGAAAATTCAAGCTCAATATGAAGAGTTAACTCATTTGTACCAACACCTTGGTGCATATTTCATTATCTTTACCTTCCTCAATCAAAACCTCAGGTTGGGTCATATCAATCTCTTCTTTTAGGTTACCATGCAAAAATATAGTTTTCATATCTAATTGTTTTAACTCTAAATAAAAAATAACAGTCATAACCAAAACAACTCTAATAGTGGACATGCACACTATAAGAGAGAAAATCTCATCAAAATCAATACTTGGTTTCTAAACATAACCGTTTACAACCAATCGAGCTATGTACCTTTCAGCAGCAGCATCATGAACTTTCTGCTTCTTGAAGACCTATTTCTGCTTCATCGACCTCTTACGAATTATCTCTATTGACCGGCTTCATCGACCTCACATACCTCATGATAAGTAACTAGCTCACCCTTCTTTGTGAGGCAAGCCTCACATGAGCCGTTTTAGATCTATCAGATCTTCAAACCTTCAAACAACACTATATATTTCAATCATCTATCTCCATCTTCAGGTAATTCCTGGCTTATCTCTTGGGTCAAAGTAAGATTTTTATGTAGATACATATTTGTCTAGAGTGGTTACTCCTAAATCACCCTCCTCATTTTCCTTAAAATCTCTCTGGTCTCATTCATACTCATTCCTCCCCCCTCTCACATGTATCACTCCTTAAATATCTCTTTCTTGATCTAGTACCTAAAATCTCTTTTTCTTTCTCTTTTATAAAGGCATCTCAATACCTGTTGAATGGTGATAGAAATGACCTAGCATATATTTGTCTTTTACCATTTATTTAGGAGCTTGTTTGTCACTAAACTAAGTGACTTGTATAAAAGCTAAAAATAATTTTTTTGTGGCACGATTCTTTCTTTTGGGTTTGCTATGTTCTCTCTCTAGAAAGGGGTTAAGGATCTTTTGGTTATATATGAAAAGGAAAGATGTGAAGAATGATTTCTTATCCATTTTTAGTGAGAAATTGCATGAGCTTGCATTGCTTGCATCCTTGGATCATCTAAAGTGAAACACAAGGTAAATCGTAGCTTTTGGGTAATTTCAATAAGGTATTATGGTGATGAACTTTATCGATTTTCTCCATTGAGGTAACATTGTATTCCCTTGTAAATATCTCTTTGATAGTGGAATTACTTACCGGCTTGCCGTGAATGTAGCTCAGGGTGAACTACGTTAAATTCATGTTATGGTTTGTCTCTCTAATTTTCTCTCGTGATGATGTTTCTATCTCTAATTTATTTTTCTTAAATTATTGTACACGATCCTTGAACTTATTATTGAATTATCGATTTTACATATTCGGTATTGAGTGTGTGATATTCGAAGATCCGCTAAATTAGGGTTTTAGGTATTCGAATCTCCAATCATACATTTTCATATGTCACATGTATCTTTATTTTGTTATTTTAAAATCTCTTCGCCCTCCCCCCCCCCCCCCCCCCTCCTGCCTGCTCCCTCTCTCCTTTTTTGATAAACCTAACTAGCTTACTCAATAACTAACCTATTGAATATCTCTTCTTCGTCATATATGACATTTCATAATTATGAATCATAAAACAAATAATATTCTTATCATAATTTATCATAAATAAATTATTATACTACTTCTTTTTTATTTGAACAATATTAATTATAGTTTCATTAATTTTAATGATTATAATTACATACCATTTTTAAAATTCTATTCAAATTTTATTGATTTGGAAGTTACATAATTCTTTTTATAATTGGTTCTACTAAGACAATATTATGAACCAGTAATATATTAAATTATCCAAATTCAATTTTTACTCTAATAATTGTTAGTATTTGTAATTATTATGATATTAAAAATCAAAGTAGCTATAAATATTATAAAAAATATAATGTTAATATTTTAACGATCATTTCAATAATTACAAAAATAATTGGAATCTAATGAATATTTTATACTCAAAGAAGTATAATTATGTAATTATATAATAATAATACAATGATATTATAATTTTAGGTACATAATTACCATTGAACAAGTTTATATTATTTGTTAATTTATTTTATGCACATTAAACATAGTTATAGTCAAGTTAATTAGATATACAATAATGTTCTCTTTATGTTCTTAATTTTCTATATCTATTTTTTTATGTATTATTAAAAACTATCATATGAGCAATATATAAATTTGGCTAATTTATTGAATTTCTCATTTACTAGGTTATATCTGATAACATGTGTGTATGTGAGTCTGTAACCTTTTAATAAAACTTACAAAGTAGGCGTATCTTACTGGTTGTAATTTAAAAGAAAGATATCCTATTTTATATTTATGTTGAATTCAATCCTTTTTGTTTATTGTTTTATTGTTTTTTTTATTTCTACTAAACTACCCTTGTTCAAAACTTCGAGTTCCAAACCAATCTTTTATACTTTCTAAAAGGAAATAGTAATCTAGAAGTTCATGCTCGAAATTCATTTTTTTGAGGGAAACCTAGGTTTGAAACGGGATGATCCTAATTTCACCAAAAAAAATTAGAAAAAAGAAGGGAAATTTACTAATGGACCAAGTTTTTTTACCGATATAACTGTATGACCAAAAAAAATATATCTTTATTTCTTGGAATGACCACCTATCATTTCTTTTTATTTTTTTTTGTCAAGTTTGTCCCCCTTTATTTATAGCCTCAAAACTTGTTTTGTTCCTCTTCCTTCTCGCCTTCTCTCTGTCCTCTCTCTTCTCCTTTCAAAAACCTGTCTCTCTCTCCTATCTCGGGCATCTCTCTCTAAGCCCTACACCCCATTAACCTGCAGATTTCACTCTCTCTCTTATAGATTTGGGGTTTGTTAGGGGAAATAGAATTGGGTTTTTTTTTTGGAAAAAAGAGAATTTAGAGAGAGCTTGCATACAGATTCTAGAGAGAAAGAAGAATAGAGAGAGAGAGCGTGTTGAAATGGGGTGGTTATATTTGGTGATGATAGGAGAATTTAGAGACACTTTTCTGCAACTAGTCCTCACCAACCTTTTTGTATTCTCTCTCTTCAATAGCTTTGCACTGCCCTCTGTTGTTAAGAGAAGAATCGATTCAGAAACAGTGAGCGCAAGGAGAGAGAGAGAGAGAGGAAAATCAAGTGTTGCTGCCAAATGGGAACAGACAGTGGGTTGGAAGAAGCCCTCTCATTCTCCAAATGTACGCTCAAATCCTCAATCAAACCCTCTCTCCCCACCTGTGATATCTTGACTCGTCAAAGAAATGGAGAATTTAGACAGAAAATGGATTACGGATTCTAGAGAGAGAGAAGAGCAATCTAATAACGGTGCGGTTTTTATAAGGTTGCAACCTAAACAAACCAATTGAAGCGCATCTTAAAATTTAATTATAACATGTAATTTTGTTGTAAAAAATACTAAAAAATACTTAGTATTATCTTAAAATCTATTTTCATACCTAATTAAAAAATTTTAAATTTCAAAAATGATTAAAATCAAGTAGATATATAAATATATGAAAATCTTGAAAATGGACGGTCTAGATAATGTGTTGCAAGATGCACTATTTTCAAGACTCAAAATTTTTTTTTTTCATATTCTTATATCTCGATGTCGAGATGATCGATTAGAGGGTTTTTTCAACATTAAAACAACATTTTCGATAGATTTTTAATATGCATATGCATTCTACATTTTAAGGTTGTAACCTTATATAAACTTTTTCCATCTAATAATTTTATTTTATCGAGAAAAAAAAATTCAAAGAGAAATAGAAGAGAGAGGAGAAAGAAAAAGATCAGTCTACGTTTTCGAGGGTAAATAAAGCAATCAAATTCGAAGAAAAATAGAAGAGAGAGGAGAAAGAAAAAGATCATAGTAAGTTTTTGAGGGTAAATAAAGCAGAAATATTGGAGTGGGGGCAAATTAGGTAAAAAAGAAAAAAAAAATTATGTATGCATCATTCTATATAATATTAAGCTATTTTTGGGTCATACCATTATAATGGTTAAAAAATCCGAACCATAAGTAAATTTTTCAAAAAAGAATTTGTGTGCTAGGCCAAAAGTTGTCCTTCCTAAACGTGGTTAGGAATTTCTTATTGTCCCCTCTTATTACATGCACAAACACTCCGATGGATTGTTTTCACTATTTTAAGTAAGGGAAAGGTTTCTATACTTCTCCTATAGCATAGAAGATCTATGCTTCCCTTATCATCAAGCCGTCCAATTTTGATCAAGAGAGTCACTCACCATTTGATCTTAGATCCGACGTCTCAAAGTATTTTATTTTTAATTTTTTGTGTACATATTGTATTAAATTTGAAATTTGGTATGTCGCATCTTCTCATTGGGACGCACCTATATAAAATATTAAAAATAATTTTTTGATAAAATATAATTACCAAAATACCTTTCGAAACTTATAGGGGTATTTTGGTCATTTTATCTTATTTAAAAATTTTTTATTTTTTTTTTGCTAGTGCGAGTTTAATAGAGGATTGGAGGTCCAAAATTTGGTGCCAAAATAGTTTGTAGAAAAAAATTTTAAAAAAAATAATAGAAAAATGTGACATTGTGATTGGAGCGATCTCGGCGCTCCATTCAAAATGGAGGGGTAGATAAAAGAAAGTATATATGAGAAGCGTAAAAAGCTTGCCCTTTAAGTAATACCCATAATTTAATATGGTAATGAAATTCTTGTTGTACATCGAGAATGAACTTGCTATTTAACACCATATACCCGACTTAAGGTGCATGTGTGGGTTGAACCCCAGCTTTGTAGTAGGTGAGAAGCTTATCACGAGTAGGAAAACTCTCCTTGACAACATCAACACTTAAAATATCTTTGATCCATGAACTTAAACGTGGCATGATTTCGGCATCCAAGAATATTACTCCTGTAATTTCTTCCATGATTCCAACCCACAAAGCAATACTACTTGCTACTATGTCCAAGTATCCGACAGCCTCTCCATCAAAAAAATTTCCTTTGAGAGCTCTTTCTAGGGTTTTCAGGTTTTCTTGGGCTTCTTTTATGGTCTTCTCTCTCTCTTCCCCTTGAGCATGAATAGCCATACGTATAATTGCCCAACACTATTACTAGAAGAAAATATTGTCAGATAAATCTCAATGGAGGAAGAAAATATTAGGTCTATAATTTGCATTGGGCTGGAGTCGGGCAGGGTCTGGGCAGGGCCATCCTTGGCCTAGACCGGTCATAGTCCCCATAGGCCTGGCCCAAGCCTGGCACGGCCCTAACCATGCCAAAGAGGCCTTGGCCCAGACCCTCCCTAGCCCTAGCCCTATCGGGGTTGGCTGGAACGGGTCGGGGTAAAATAAAATAAAAACAATGAAAGAAAAATAAAGAAAAAGGGGACCAGGCTGGCCTTGGAGCTGGCCCTGTCCGGCTGTACCCTCAGGCTGTGGTCGCTCGGCTTTGGGTACAGATGTCAATTTTTAGACTCGGCTGAGCACTCATGGCCAAGATGAGTTTTTTTTTTTTTTCTTTCCAGCCCAAGGCAAGAAAAAAAAAAAAATTTGTAAAAATTTATTTAAAATTTTTAAGATGATTTAGGAACTTTTCCTATCACAGGATCCAATATGTACACAATATATGGACTCTTTAAGAATCTGGTAGCCTAGAAGAGCGAGGGAAGATGCTCTAATGGGTCAAATTTTATCTTATCTTTCATGAAATTAGCCCAAAAACTAGCTTGGGCCCTCTCGTATGGATCTTCGGGCAAGAGGGTATTTCCCGGCCATGTTTCAACTATGTATTCTAAGATCACCATTGATTCTGGCACCGCATTATCGCCATGAATAAGCACAGGGACCTTCTTGTGCACAGGGTTGGATTCTAAGAGAAGAGGGCTCTTATTTTTGAGGTCTTCCTCTATGTATTCATACTCAATTCCCTTTAGTTTGAGGGCGAGATGAACCCTGCAAACAAAGGGTCTTCTCCACGTTCCCAACAACCTCACCCTCTGTTCGCTTGTTGCCATAGCTGTGTTTTAGTTTACTAAAATGATTACCCATCTCTATGCCCCTCTTTCGTTCATATACCTGTAGACAACTCGTTTGTCCTTTTACTTGAAGTCTCTCTCCTAGAAGGTGCTTTTCTTTTTTTCCTTCCTCCTCTGTTTACGGTTGCCTTAAAATTTTGGTGCACTGAACTGTGTTTAGCACAAAATTGGTTTGGGGTCTTTGTGCCTGCTGATATTTAGAACTTAATATGTTGTTCTTTTGGTGACATTAGGGCTTACTATGTCATTGCTGACCTAGCTCTCATCCAAAGTATTCCGCTTCTCTCTCATTTTATTAATGTTTAGTAACTTGAGATTATCTGTTATGAAATTATTTATTATTGTTATTTTTCTAGATTTCCTGTGGTCTAATATTTGATTGATCTTTTATTTTAATTTTTTTATTTTCTTAAACTATCTGTTCGGGAAGCTAGAGGATAGTTTTGGGTCGGTCCAATGTTTGAAACATTGGATTACCTCGGTATTAAAAAAAAAAAAAACACCTCAAAGGCAAGTTCGGTAGTCTGAACATCCGACCCCTATGCATTCTAAAACAGGCTCGAGGTAGGTTCGATGTTTGCACTATTAATGCACAAGGTAGGTCTGAGACTAACCTCTGGGTTTCAAAAAAAGGCCTTGAAGGAAGTTCAATAGTGCGAACGTCGGATATAACCCTCAGCTTTCCAAAAAATGTAGATGGTCAGTCCGATGCTCGCATTTGGGCTTCAAAAAATAACCCGGAGACCACCTTTAGGGCAGTATGTTGTTTCAAATATTAGACTTATCCAAAGCTTCTCTCTGGCCTCTAGGGCCACTCTAGAGCTTGACAAAATAAAAAAAAGAATTAAAATAAAATGAAAGTATGACCTTTGTGCAAATTATGAGAAACATTGAATTGTAATAATTTTAGCGGAAAATTTTGGTAGTTGTCGCTTGCTTTTCGACGAAGATATAAATGCAAACGAAAATTTCGAGGCATGGTGTAGAAAATAATAATGTAACTGACAAAGGAAAGAGGTAGGAAAGAGAGAAACAACAAAACAACGATCAAGAGTAAGATTCAGCCCTTAAACTGGTGGTATTGTGGGCCGCACGAAAATTCAGCTTTCAAGAATACAATTATATCTTTGACCACCTGAATCACGCCAAATTTCGCGCCTCACTTGGTAAGTTTTCTTAAAGACCAAGGAAACCCCATCTTAGGGCCGGCCTTGATTGGGCTAAAAAGAGGCCTGACGTAAGCCCTGCCTTAGCCCAATTCAGACCTGGCCGAGCCAAATAAAATCAAAACAACAATTAAAAACAAAAAACTAAAAAAAAAACAGCCAAGTGGGCCTTGGCTCGGCTCTCCCTTGGTTGTGCTTACCCAGGCTAGGCCTGGGGTCGGGCCACAAAACCGTCCTGGCCCACGGGCCACCAAATGTGACCTGAGCCCAAGGTTTTTATAACGGGGCTGATCGGGCTGGGGTGGGCCACCCGGCCCATTCCCTTACCACCCCTAATTCATTTATATTTTTAAGTATCAAGAGAGAGATAGAAAGGGGGTTAAATACGAAGAACCTAGCAGTTTCTAGATAAGTTGAAAATTTGAACTAGAAGTTAAAATTGACCAGCGAAAAGTATAAATATGATAGCAGGAGGAAGAAAGCAACTGCACAACGACCCGGCAAACAAATGGTGCATAAATAGGCGATAAGAGAAAAGTGGTATCGATAACAATCAAACGGTGCATAAATAAGAGAAAAGGAGTAGTATCGCACTTGTTTACTATCTAAATGGAAGGGCAAAAAGTAAGGTTGCTGGGAGCATGGGGTAGTCCCTTTGTTCACAGAGTTGAACTGGCCCTCAAACTCAAGGGAATTGAGTATGAGTTCATTGAAGAAGATCTCAAAAACAAGAGCCCCCTTCTCTTGGAGTCTAACCCTGTTCACAAGAAGATCCCTGTGCTCATTCATGGCAATAATCCCGTGTCCGAATCAACGGTGATTTTGGAATACATAGATGAAACATGGCCTGAAATTCCCATTTTGCCAAAGGATCCATATGAGAGGGCCCAAGCTCGTTTCTGGGCTAAGTTCATCGATGATAAGGTAAGGCCTCAGACTCTTTCATTTTACAAATGTCTAGGTCTAAACTCTTTCAAGAAGGAGTACCCAAGAGTTGTGTGTGCAACTCCGGACATTTAGAAAAACTTCAAAAAAGAGAAAATTTATAAAAAATAAATATATGTTTTATAAAACTTTTCTTACGTGGTTTAGATGTATTTGGCAAAGATTGGTGAGTGTTTTTCTTTTTTTTTGTTATAATTACAATTTCTATATTTTTTGAACTTTTTCAAAAAGTCTCAAAACTGTAAATTGGTTTTTTTAAAATGTATGTTTTCTCTTCTTTTTTAACCTCCTTTAATTTTTTCAAAATATTTTATGTTGAAATTTACTTTTAATACATATTTTTAATTTTCTCAAATTTTCTTAATATAGTTTAAAGTTTTTAGGGTTCAGTCATGAGGACTCGGCAAAGTGACTCGCCTCTGGTTTGGACTTGTCGATTAGATCAATTCCATGCACTCCTCTTTAGGCATGTATATAGGTTGTGTAGGTCATGATTTACCTCAACCAAGACCCATCAGAAAGAAAATAGAAATAGGAGAATAAAGAAACACAAAATTCGAGCCATTTTTTATTGCAAGACAAACCAAGAGCTTAATTCTGGGTTTTCAAATAGTAAATTATGCTTCATTTTGATCATTGCGACAATTAAAAGACGTAAATGTTTGATGAGTTTTTAAACTTTGAGAAATAGTCGTATGAGTAATTGTTGCAAGTGGCATATACAGTTTGGCTCCTTCGGGGATTTTTCAAGCCATCCAATTTGATATCTCATGGCTAAGAGCAATTATAACCTCCATGTAATAAAGATAAACGGTCTTGTATATACATTCCTTTCTAGGCCAATATAATCTCTTTGTTTCTCCTCAACTATGACTGTAACATCCATTTGGTTTTGTTCAAATGCTTTAATTTACTAGGCCAGCACAAAAATCTTTCTATTTTTCTTGTAAACTACATGAGAACGTCATATATCTCTTTTTTGCACACAGTGCCTGCCTGTCTCTTGGATAGCTTTCACTACGCAAGGGGGACAACAAGAGAAGGCTCTCAAGGAGGCCCAAGAGTGCATAAAAACCCTAGAAGCAGCCCTAAAGGCGAAGTTTTTCGGCGGAGAAACAATCGATTACGTCGACGTTGTCGGAAATTTTTTAGGCTATTGGATGAGAATATTAGGGGAAGCTGCAGGTATTCAGTATTACGATGCTGAGAAAGCACCAGTCTTCCATTCATGGATAGAAGAATTCACGAGCGTTGATGTTGTAAAGGAAAGCCTTCCAACTCATGATAAGCTTCTTGCTTACTTTAAAGGTCATCTTGAGGCCTTACACTCTACCTCAACTTCCTCCTAATCAAGGCCACCGGTTTTTACTTAATTGTTGTTTGCCGTCAAAATGTATTGAGTAAAATATGAGACTTGGGTGTTTCGGCATGAATTGCTTTCATGCTCTATATCTACTATTTCATTCCTTTGTTGAGTTATAAATGAGATGTCCATCATTAAATTTCTCATGCCTGAGGGACGTCCTTACGGGATGGGTTGGCCAGAGTTTTTTTTTATTCATCGCTCATCTTTTAAAAACATTTTTTTAGCTATTGGTTATAATGAATAGTATAAGCTACTAGCTTCAAACCGTCAGATCTTTCATTGTGTGATTCAAAATTCATATCACTATTTTAATTTAATTTTAATTTTAATTTTTTTTTTTATATTATCGTACACCATATAAAAATATAAAACAATTATTTTCAATAATTTAAAATAAACAAATACTCATACCATTTTTTGGGGTATTTTCCTCATTTTATATTTTAAGAAATACTTTTTATATATTTTTTATTGTGCGCCCTATTTTTAGTACGTGTATCCAAAATTTCAATACAAATAGATTTTTAGAAAAAACGTCAAAATTCAAATAGTGATATGAATTTTGAACCACCCGATCAAGATCTAATGGCTAAGACTCAATAGCTTATACTATTCATTATAGCTAGTAACTTAGGAAATCGTTTTCTATATATATATAGAAAGGATCTCGCCAACTCACATCTACAGTGGCTTAGATTTAATATGGTCTAATATGACAGTCACGACCTTATTTTATACTTGACTTTTCATTTTTTTTCTACACATCTAAATCACTTGAAATTTTAAAAGTACATTCTACATATCAAGGCGCACCTAAAAAAAATAAAAATAAAAAATCACAAACTATAAGTTAACCAAAATATCCCCAAAAAGTTTTAGGAGTATTTTGATCAATTTATTGTTTTATATTTTCAATAATAGACCCTCAAAATTTCAAGTAATTTGAAAATAAAAATTCAAATGAGGTTATGACCATTGGATTTAGCCTAGATTTAATCTGGGCCGTTGCCAGAGTTGTAGTTGTCAGCTTGTATATATATATAAAGGAGAAGTCTTCCCAACGCTTATAGGTGAAAATGAATAACGATTTCGCTTATGTTCATCACCATCTAAAGTTCATTGCACGGTCACGATTATTCGGTAGTGTTTCAATTTTCATTTTTTTTTTATAAATCGAAATGGCCTAAAATTTTGAGCATATGTACATCTTAATGAGACACAGCTAACAAATGTACGAAAAAAAAAAATTTGTAAAATATAAATTGATAAAAATACCCCTATAAATTTTCAAGGTTATTTTGATCAATTTATATTTTACAAATTATTTTTATATATATTTTTATTAAATTCTCCTATTTTTTATGAACTGGCGCTCCAAATTTTAGATCATTTTGATTAGAAGAAAAAAAATGAAAATTGAAACACTATCGAACAACTGTTATTATACGATGAACTTTTAACGCTGATAAGCATAGACGAAATCACTGTTCATTTTTTTTTTTTATAAATCGAAGTGGCCTAAAATTCAGAAACTCTTAAAAAAGTTGGGAGGAAAGAGGGGGAAGGGGAGGGGGAGAGAGAGAGAGATTGAGCTCTTAAAACTCTAGATCTGAAGCATCCAAAAAACTATCGAACTGGCCATTTGTTAAACAATGAGATATAGATATTAAGAGCTCGAAGTCATTTTCGTAGTTTTTGAAATCAATCATAGTTGAAGCAAAGGACATCCCTAAAATTTGAGCCTTTAAAATTCCCTCTTATATGGGTTTTTTATGGTCGCACACCACAGTAGAAATAAGCACCACTTTTTTTGGGTAAATAGAAATAAGCACCATTACATATACTAAGTTATATTAAATTTCATTTGGAAGAATATTAGCTAAGGCTTGATCATTGATCTAATCCTAATAACCTGAGCTACATATCTTAGATCATGGGCTTTTTCATGTGATGTCAAGAGCAAGTTTTTAATTATGTAGTATGGAGCATTAACACCAAGGATAAACAGTTACCTTCATAAGATGTTCAAGTTTACCTTCCTGCAACATTATCAAAAAAGCAACCAATTATTATAAAAATAAAAATACAAACATTTGGCAATATTGGGTTTATCTGACATTTCAAAAACAAAAAATCCAGATTGAATTTAAGCTAGATCCAATAGTCCCAGCTTCACTTCGTATTTGAATTTTTATTTTTTCTTTTACAAATCTAAATCACTTTAAATTTTGAATGTCTATTCTTTAAAAATAAGATAATCCAATAAAAATATAAAAAAATAATATGAAAATATAAATTAACCAAAATACCCTCAAATTTTTCAAAGTTATTTTGATCAATTTGTATTTTATAAATTATTTTTTAATAATTTTAATAGATGTATGAGAGAGAGATGACATATTCTTTCTTACAAGGACACGTGATTCCACAGGAGAAAATTAGGTCAAATTATAGACCACACCTTAAGCGGCGTCTCTGTTTGTCTTTTTGGATCCACTTTAGAATCATCGAGTACTTGCACACTCACTACGAGAAAAAATTCTACTTGGCGTTTCTTTTTATTTGAAATGTTGGTATCCCCTTGAGAATTGCCAGAGTATTATTTAAGGAAAATTGTTGGATTTGAATGTTTCATTACCTAAAACTTAATTGTTCAAAAATTGGATAGTCCATATTCAATCTTGTTTTTTTCAAGTAGATAAAGAGTGTACTTCATTTCATTACTTTCATTTTTATTTTTTAAGATTGCTCATTAGTTGTATGAGGTCACATGCCGAAATTTTGCTGTTTTAAAAATATGCCACGTGGATTTTACAAAAGGACCAAATGGACAATATGCTCTGGTGAAAGCACGAACAATTTCGCTTCATTTTAAAAAAATTGCTTTGAAGTTCTCAAATATCTAGACTGGACCATCCAAAATTAAATGGTATCTACTCAATGTTTAGATGTTGATATGGAAGTGCCCCTTTTTCTGATTAGTCACTAAGTTGAGAAGGATTTTACACGAGGGAGTAAATAGAATAATATGCTCCTAGGGCTGAGAATTTACCCCGTTCGGATCCAAGACTCAAAATTCAGATCCTATCCAGATCCAAGTATGGATCCAAAATTTGGATCCGATATTCAAATCATATCCAAAATCTAGATCCAAATAGTAATTCTGATCGGATCCAAACAGAGGCGATCCCGACCCGGATCAGATCCAATATTTTAGGATAATATATATTACATATACATAAATGTTACAATTTATATATTTATAATATATAATTATTTTAGTTTTATAATTATATTTTAACTTCAAAAAATACAAGATTAGAAATGATTCAGATCCAAATTTGAATCAAAATCCAACATATAATTTTGGATCTAGATTCAGATCCGAATATTCTAGATCCGACAAGAACCGGATCCGAACATATTTTTTGGATCCAGATCCAGACCCAATCCAAAAAATTCTCAGCCCTATATGCTCCCACAGGAGCATAAAATCTTTCTGGCGTCTGGCCTTTTATAAGGCTCTTTCTATCTTGAATTCCTTTCATCTTCTTTTTGGGGCAAGGGAATTGCACACAAGGGAAAAGGCACACCGAGGCTTCACACATGTCCTTGTGATTAAATTTGAAAATGGTTTGGAGGAGTATGTTGCTCATCCTGCACACAAGGCTTACGCCACAAAATTCATGGACACGGTGGAAAAGCACCTTATCCCTGATCATGCTCACATCATTGCCAAATCTCCTGCCTAGCGATCTCTCTCTCTCTCTCTCTCTCTTCCTGGGTGTTGTTTGCGTGATATTCTACCAAAGATGCATGAGGAAAAGCTGTTTTGCTCTCTCCCTCTCTCTTGGTTGGTTTCTTCAACAATGTTTTCTTGGGAACATCAGATTTCCAGAACAATGTTTGCTTGAATATTTCATCTTCTTGCTCCTATCCTAAGAAGCTCTCCCTCTCTCTCGCACGCACGCACACACATACATTGGTTCAATGTGCTTGTCTACATAGTAATCAAATTTCACAAGATTCGTTAAATAAGCCATGACAAATTCTTGCTAATCTTCCAGAAAATATGTGAACAATAGCTGAGAATATCCCACCATAAAGTTTCTATTTCAACATAATAAAAAGGAGTAAGCTTTCACATCTGAATTCCATAATCAAAAGCAAACTATGCAGAGAAACATGGACAAATATAACAGGGTGAATCACTATGATATGAACAAAACACGATAAGCTGTCATAGGTTTCAGGCAAGTACAGGCCCCAATTATATGCAAGTACAGGCAATTATCTGCATGTACTGACCATTATCATTTTCATAGTAAGCACTTCAACTCTGAAACATTGGGAGATAATTATTGATTCTGGACGGTATTCGGACCCAAATAGATTATAATGATTCAAATAATGGTATAACATATATAGGTCCCTCCGTTCTTCAAAACCCGGCTGTTTCAGCATTACCTAACTCCCAACGATCACAAAAAAAATTTAAAAAAAAGTAAATAATTAAATAAAAAAGAAGAAGAAGAAAGATCTAAGTTATGATAATTGTGTCAATCACTTTATATGTCTGCTCTGGTAGGGATGGTGAAGTGAATAAGTGTGCTAAGGATATTTTGGGTTTGAACAGTAAAAGGGATTTAGACTTCGAAGTCGCCTTTGTTATGGCCTATCCATAATGGCATATCAGGTCCATAAAGAATAGAGGGTTTGTTTTTTCTTCTTGTTTCTTAAATCATAAGAACAAATTACTCACCTTTACCACTAGTCACCCATCTTCATCAAGATCATTTCTCAAATCCAACATTCCTTGTATTCATTAAGAAGGGAACCCCGAATGTGATGATTTTCCTTTACATGTTCGTGCATATACATATACCTACATGTTTTCATTTTACCCAAACCCTTAATGTCGGGTATAAACATAGTACTTTTGTTGAGAATATTGCAAAAATACTCATATTATATATATATATATATATATATATATATATACACACACACTTACACATGCGCGTTGAGCAGAGAAACATACCCACACACAAGACGAGCATTGCATTCACACAACCCACAAATAGAGAATACACTCATATATTTTTATATTAGGACTACCAACGGGCAAGCCCTAGCCTGAG